GCCAAAATGAATGAATAAAATTTTTAGATTATTGTACAAAGGAATTTATAAAGATAAGCAGGACATATCGAGTTCTAGAAAAATAGGGGTCATCAGAAATTACAAAAAAAGTACCTTAATTTACAATTTGAAAATCTTGCTCATGTCCAGATTAAAAAAAAAAACTAAATTGATCACAGATTCATTCAGGACAAATAATTTCAAAAATGTGGTAATTTTAGTTCAACGTTTCCTCTTTTTATTAGGACTTACATTAATATAATTTGCAATGAATACAAAATTATTGTATAGTTTTTCTAACACTTATCTTACACTTGATAAAGACATCCTAGTACATTTTAAATATTCGTTATTTTTAAAATAAGGCAATATAGAGTTTGTCGAAACAGTTTATTTTTTTGCAGGGCTATACGTTGTTTGATTTAGCTTTTATAATATACTAGATAAGTATACCAGTTCATAAAATATATAAATATTTTTTACAGACATAATTTTTTTTACAAAAGTAAGTGAAAGACATCAACAAATTTTACTAACAAAAACAAAATAATAAAACATATACATATGTATTGTATATACTTAATAGATTAAGTCACGTTTTCTTACATTATATTAAAAAATATATAATGCATTGTATATACAACTTTACTATTAATAAAATTTCTATAAGTTTAATACGACAAAGAACAAGAAATCCTTTTATAGACTGATAAATTTGAAGGCATAATGGCCGTTTAATGTTTTTTGAATTGTATTCAATAAGGCCATTTAGTTAATTATGATCGTTACTAACTTTCATGATCATTAATGAATTATTTTTCGTTTTTTTTTTTTGTTTTCTTGGTCTTCACCGATATTTTATTCCATTACTTAAGAACGTAATAATTATACTATAACGTGAAATAATATTTGTATGGGGTATTGTATTTTTACATAGGGTGACTTAATTTGCAATGTGATCAAAAAACTGAGGTTTTTCTGCAGTTATTATTTTAAAATTCGTTAAAATTCTTAATAAAAGATATACTTGTCTTTCATAAGTTATGTATCTTTTATTTATTTTATTATAAACTAGCTTTTATAATCTTAACATTAGCTTTTACGTCAGAATAATATATAGTCTATAATAATTTATAGGTTTAAAAGTTGTATTGTGTAGGAACTCCGTATATAAACTGCAATAAGACGCTTTGAGACGATTACCATATCTATTGTATTAACAAGTTTTATAAATTTCTCTCTGAACTTAATACTGAAGTTCACGTGGAAGAAATGAAATGGAAAACTAGTACATTTATCACTAGATGAAAGATAAGTCAAATATATATGTGTACAAGCTTTTCAAATCGCTACAAGTATAGGTGCGGGATATAAGTTGTAGCTTCACTGTTATATATGGTATGTATTTTAATTGAATTGCCTATTCCTTTTTTCTTGATACTTTAGTTCATTAATAAAAAACAAAATATTGAAAGTAATGTTGAGGTTGATTTAAAAATAAATATTTTTTTCATTGCAGAACAGAATGGAAATGAGGTATTAGTTGTATTGATGGTAGAAATTTTACATTCTTTGAAGAAAATATTACTGCAATACCTTTTTCACGTACACTTTTTATGTGAGGTTTGCGCGATACAGCGATAAATTGATCCTGACGAAAATCTATATCACGAGAAACTACTTCTGTTCTTAAATTATTTATAGGTCAAGAGATGTATCTTTCATAATTCAAGAGCTATATGTACATGTTTAGTTTTAATTTTGTTAGTAAAATTCCATTAAAATTTAATTTTGTAGTGGTAACAGTTTTGCGAATTTTGTTAGTTTGCAGTACGCCGCATGAAAGTTGCATTTCTGTTGCAAATTTAATTCATATTAAACTCTTGGAATAAAATATTTTCATATTTTAAATAAACAGTGACCCACGCGTGACTCATGTTTCCGATCCAGTAATAAATACTGATACTGGTATAAACTGAAATGATACATAACCTTTCCAATTTAATATTCTGTAATAAATATTTTTTTATAAATAAATTTGTAAATCAATATCTTTCACAAGTACGGTTGATTATACAGGGTGACTGGTGAATTACTATCGATACTTGAGGACGTGATATTTGACGATCATGTAAGACAAAATAAAAATTAATATAACATAAATATTACTAAACTTCTAAGTAAAGTTAACCAAAAGTTATGTAATTAATTACGCAATGAGTGAACACCCTACAGATTAGGTATACACACACACTCACACATACGCGTTTGGCGGCGTAGTGTTGTATCAGCACGCCGCCGCACGCGTCCACACTTGGAACACTTGGAACGTGTCAACACTTTATTTATTTATACGGAAATTTTGTCAAAAATTAAGTGCCTATTTTTTTTACATAATTCGAATGAGAATCATGTACCGAGTATTCTCCTTAAATATTGATAGTAATTCACCAGTCACCCTGTATAACTAATCAAATACTTTCAATAAAATAACTCTTTGTTTGCGCCTGAGACCCAAACTGATGCAAAAAATAGGGAAGAAAAATACAAGCGTCAAGGCTCTTTGTGAATTCCCGAGTAGGCCAGACTTAAAGAAAAGGTTATGTGTGTTCCTGTGACATTAGGGGACTAGGTAATAAATACGTTGCCACTTTTTAAAAAATGGTTCTTAGAAAACAGCGTTTTTTTTTACTTGAATAAGGTATAGAACGTTACAACGCCGACCGAACCCGATCTCCTTTTATAATGGAGCTCGGCACTGCAGTGTAGTAACGTCTATAGTGTGTGAGTAAGTTAAGTATTTGAGTTTTAACTTTTTTTAAAATGTTACTTCACATACACAACACACTTGTATATTTTTTAAAGTTTCATAGAAGTTTTCAAAAGTTAGCCATGTTCTTGTAAAGAAATAAAGTAACTGAACATGGAACGAGCTAATTTTAATGTATTTTTTATATCATACACATAAAACAAAAAAGTTTTAAATTCAAGTCAAAAATTTCAATATTTAGACCTACTCTCAACTGTAAACTAAATCTTTTTAATGTACAGATTCTTTAGGAACTAAGAATTACTATTTATATTCCTACGATATTTCATTGTGTAAGGTAATTGAATAATTAAAAACGGTCAAGTCTTTCAAATACCAAAAGTTCATAGATTTTCATAAGAAAATGAACACAGTACTTTGCACTTATAGTTTTTCAATATTTAGTGAGTTTGGATAGAGACTTGAAGTTTTATTCATTCCTGGAGTTGAATATTGATTTTCTTTTACAATTATTATTAATTATAAAAATGTATATCTCACCAGCTGTAAACGCCAGGTTACGGCGAGTACTGCCCATCATGTAGGCCGTCTGCTCGTTTGCCACCTTTTCATGACAAAAAAACTTAAGTAAAAGTAATCTAAGATACTTTTTATAATATCAGCTAATTGGCTAGGAAAGTTTGCTCAAAATTGAAACCCTTTTCAAGGGTCGCTGGAATAAACAGTAAAGACAAGAATTAAAAAAAGCAAATTTTATTTTAATGCAATATAAAACACGATTAATTTGAAATTGCAAACTGATATTTAAATTTTATTTATTTTATACATCTTTTAACAGTACGTAGGAGCAATATTTGCTATGTACATTGTATATTGTTTTTTTAGAAGTATCGAAGTATTTATTTCAACTTTTGACGTGGGTGAAACTAATAAGGCCTTATAAAAAAAAATAGGTAGGTAATATATAACATAAAAACACAAGTTATTAATTATTATTAAATGATACATTATGTTATTATGTCACTTTAAGCATTTTATGTCTTATGTAAACTCTCATTGATTAACTTTTATATACACAAAAGGTTTACAATTCAGCCTGCTTCTTCGTATAAATAACCTTTCTTTAGCCAACTCTAATCAAGTTGATCCAGAGAGAAAATAGGGTGTCAGAGCTTATACAAGTGTATTAAACGGTATAAAAGTGTACTAAACCCTAATACATGATAATATTTTCGGAGCGAATACCTTTTATTTACGTAATTAATAATATAATTATCAGATGATTAAAATTGTCAGGTCAGTAATGCTGACGTCATGATTTTTAAAAACCTCGGCGTGTACATAACTCCAACATATCAATATATGTAGGTGTTGAAGCAAAACCTGTATGCGTTTCATATGTGATGTGACTACGCAAATTTGTATTATATGAACAGACTGAAAAAAAGTTTAAATGTTTTTTACGAAACCGAATTATAATCGTGAATAAAATCAACTTAGCTTAGGTCACTTCTATATAAATTATATAAACATAAGGTTATAAAAATATGTATATTATTTACCTCTAATATTAGTTTCCTAATGAAACCTTGCTAGTGATGAATGGCGTGTCAGACGATTAATCTTGTTTGTGACGGCCTACAATTTTTATTTCTAGAGACATTTTCTTGGTATTTCTTTATATGAAGTATACTTTAATAATACTCAATTCGAAATCCCTCTGAAGCTGTAGTTACTTTTTTTTTGCCTACTCCCTCTAACGTGGTCAGAGTCTTTTTGAAAGAAAGAAAGAAGAAGAAAGAAAGTTTTTTATTTTTTTTTTCTGCTATCTACGTTCATACCAGTTCTCGCTACTATAAGGGCCTATCATTCTGCATTCTATTTTTTCTTTTATTCGTCTCATTCATGCTTGGGATCTATCTAACCGTGTATTACATTTCTCTATTTTATTTTTAGGACTATAGGGTGCTGTTCCATTTAATAACATTGGAGTCATTTTTTATTGCGATACATTTCTATTCCTATTTTATTTATAACATTATTTTAAAATCCTTACTATTCTTACTTCTAACATTTGTCTTTTTTATTACTATAATTACAGTCATAATTAACATTATTATTATTATTAGCTACATTACATACAATTATTACATTTCATTTATTATTGCTCATTATTTTTATGTCTCTTACATTTCCTTCACTATTTCTAATGGTATTTACTTTTCTGTTTTCAGGAGTCTCCCGTCTTCTTGCGCGTCCTGTTTCTGTCATGGCTCTCCGGTAATCTTCCACGGTGGTCCTCCTTCTTCCTGCCTTCCCGTAAGAAGCCTCCGTGAGTATTCTGTTCCTCCAAACTTTTGGTTACCAAATTTTGCAGGTTAGACTCTACACTCTTAAGCTCCTCCTCGCATGCCCCGACCGCCGTTGTACCGCTCCACCGTCTCTGGAGGTAAGGTAGCTGTAGTTACTTATGTCTACATACATTAGAGTACTTTTGAATGTTTAAAAAGATTAGGTTACTGTTCAAAGATTCTCACATCATTGAGAAATTAACATGGAAAAGGTGTAAATATTAATGTATTGTAAGGGCTAATTATTCATCTATCGCTGTATATACAGCAAGATAGCTAGTATTCAGGGGTAAGAACAACTTCTGAGTCCCTATTTTGTGACGTATAAAATGTTTGTTTCGGAAATAACCTACTCGGAGAAGTCAACCAAAGTGTCATTCAAATATTATAAAAACCATTAAATATTCATGTCTATATAAGTATATATACTTTGAGTTACAAGTTTTGTATGTATGTTAATACAAAAATATCTTTATAGTTATTATAATTAATGAATATCATGAAACAATCACGTTACGACCACATTTTACTACATACCGTCATGATGAAGCAATTATTTAAATGAGTAACAGATTTTGTTGGTTTGCGTCAATAATTCAAAGTTTAAATGAAGTGTTTTCTTTTTACTTTATTATAAAAAATAAAACTATGATAATTTTAACTTTTTACTTAAAAAATGTAAACTTTAACATTACTATGTACGTAAATAATTAAGAATTTGTCGACAAATTTAGTTCGTATGTACTCTACCAAATAATAAAGCTATTCAATTTGATTTTATTTAAATGTACAAACTAATACAGTTTTTACTTCAACTAAAAATAACCAATGTGTCTATCCAATCACTAAGTAGTTATATTCTTAATGAAAACGATTTATACCAAAATCCCCTGTTATCGGCTATTGAGATATCTAATATACTCTGTTAACTCACTGTCGGGGATAAATTGGTTTTACAGATTTTTAAATGTGTGAAATTTATTATAGGAAACTACTTCGTATAAAAGTATTTATATAATTTTTTTCCGGTATAAAATCCTTGGGGGAGGCCTATGTCCTGCAGTGGATGTCTTTCGGCTGATAATGATGATAATAAAAAATGGTTGCTATGTAAAAAAATAGTAACAAAAATGTTATCACATATTATTTATAGATGAAAATTAATATTAGTATTTCAAATAAATCTATTAATAAAATATATATGCTGGTGTTGCATTTAATATGTCACTACGGGATATGGAGATAGACGCTATAATGTCATCAGCCTATTAACGCCCACTGCTGAGCATAGCCTCTTCTCACATGGAGAAGGTTTTGAGCATTAATCACCACGCTTGCTCAAGACGGGTTGGTGATTTCAAACTTATAATTGTGAAACTATAAGTCCAGGTTTCCTCACGATGTTTTCCTTCACCGTATGTCAGTGGTGTCTAAATACTCTTAGAAAGTACATATGATTCGGAAAAATCACATTGGTACTTGCCCGGGCCAGGATCGAACCCGCGCCCTCGGCGACAAGAGGCGGGCCCTTTAACCACTGAGCCACCACTGACTGACGCTATAATACATATATTAAAAAAAACTTTTTAATGCACTCAAATACAATAACATTTCTTATGTTAATGAATCATTATTGTTGTCACGCTATATTTCTTGCTTTAAATGACGACAATAACATCTTACACAATTTATTGAGCTATAAAAGTGGCTGTAGAATATGTAATAAAGATTATAATCTGAAAAATTGCAATCATTAAACTACGTTTTATATCAAGAAACTTCCAGTACGAGGAAATAGTTGTTACTTGTAAGATGTTTTTCAATTTAATGGGAAAGTTCAAATTTAGACTGGCCGTGTAAGTTCAGGATGTATTTCATTAAATATTTATTTCTGACTTATTTGAATTTCATTGATACTGAACTATTACAATGGATATACTGGTTTTATAAATTTAAAACAACTTACCTTTATGTATTATTAAGTTTTTAAACAACAAAATAAATGAAATTATGCAATAATAAGCCCAAGTGCTAATTTTCATGCATTCATGAAGGACATTGATAGTGTGAATCTGGTAGGTCTTCTCGTATGTAAAATAAACACTTATTTTATAGTGTACACCAGTACACAATTAATTATAATACTCTAGTAATTTTTTCAAATTATTATGATTTTACTCACTTAATACAATTTATAACGCAGTTGAAACGTTTGTCAAGCAATAAAGTTGACAGTAGAGAAGCAAAAGTTTCGAACAGTCTTCCTCTTGCTAATTAGTGTTGAGTATGAAATATAAATAATAATAAGGTAAAAATAATATAAATTTAATCTTATTTGATAACGAGGTGTTAAGTTAACTTTTATAAAAAAAAAGATTTTGTTAATGATTAATATTGATTCATTATATTTTCACTGTCGTCTTAAACACATTTCATTTTAATTTCTTTCTATTGATTTGAAATCACTAGAAATTTTTCAACTTCGCGAAAATGTAATATAATATATGTATAAGTCTTTCACACGGTACTCAACGATTATTATTCGTCCGACAAATAAAAACGTTGACATTGGCAAAATATTCTTCCATTCCAGTGCGAATGAAGCCACAATAAAAAAAATAGTATAATGAAAGGGTTTTGTAGTTTATTACTTTAAGTTAAAACATTTTATGTAGACATTTTATGTAGACAAAACAAATTCACCACTGAAAATTTCAGTTGTTTCACATAAAAAGTAAATTATAAGATTATAAAACTTTAAGCTCTAATACCAAAGTTATAAGATTTAGTTTACCAGAGATACCAAAGTTACTTTCAAGTTAATATAAGGCACTGTGTCAAATTCGGTTATTAACTACTAAAGTATATGTCGGATTTAATACAAATTAGTTATTTTTATTACTGTCACTTCAGTACGGTCCATGATATTTCTAAATAAAACTTCAATTCTTCTAAATATCCTTGTATTTCATCTTATTGTAGGTTGTTCATATTCACATTCTTCAATAGTCTGCATTCAAATGAAACTAATATTTTCGGATTTTACTTCGCGTTTTTTATTTTTGATTACGAACTACATACTCCCGACGTTTCGGCTACTTTTCAGCAACCGTGATCACGGGCAGACGAGATCACGGTTGCTGAAAAGTACTTGCGATAATCTTAGTCTGCATTCACTAAACTTTATTGTCATGCGTCGTTTTTATACCAAAATTCAAACAAAGTTCTATTCTCCTTTAAAAGATATATTTTGATTTCGTTTTACATATTACAATAATTATGACTACGAATAATTTTTTTTGTTATAATTGATGACAGCCTCAAGATTTTTTATGTTGTATCCGTCACTGGTGCTGGTAATACCGATAACTACTTTTTACAACTGTAAAATTTTTAAAGGTTATTTTAACGTAATAATTTACAAGTGCTTAGTAAGATTCTTTTGCTATGCTATGATATGCGTGTTATATTTGTGATTTCGATCTCACGTTAATATGTTTGACCAGTCTGTCTTACTACCCTTAACCTACTCTTGCATCAAAAAGATTACTTATGGATAACTATGGATGTCTTGTTATACTTTTATAGATTTTGATACACTTAATTTTTTAAAGATCGATTAAACGTAGTTGTTAAAGAAAATGGATCAGTAAATAATATCGCCTTATTAATATTATCTCCATAAAACGAGCTCGTTGGTATAAATTACTGAGAATGATTTATTACAATTAGGGCGACGAGTCAGTGGTAACTTGCGAAATAATTAAAAGCAAACTAAATGCTTTCGTTCAACAGTTTTAGTGTTCTGTTTCTGAAACAGGTATAATAAATAATTTACCAGTATCTAAATAAAACGTTAACTTATTATAACATATCAAGCAATTGAGAAATTATGAAATAAGTTTATATTTTATATATATATAATATTTACATAATATGTAAAAGAAAGTCGTGTTAGTTACTCCACTTATATCTCAAGAACGGCGGAACCGATTTAGCTGAAAATTGGTAGGGAGGTAGTTTAGAGCCAGGAAATTGCAATAGGATACTTTTTATCCCGTTCGACAGCATTCCCGTGGGACTTGATATGAAACGTCAGTCACTATAAAACGTGGTATAACAAAAAATAATCAGACCTGGAATAACAAAACGGAAATGACAGCTATGTAATTGACGTATAATGACAGATATGTAATATCGTATGGATGACAATTTGATATTTGTGAGGAATCTATATAAATAAAAATGAAACAAACGAGGTGAGCTAAATAAAACTGTTTATAAATTAATCGCTGTTCTTTAGTCTCACTAAAACTCGAGAACGGCTGAATCTTTTCTTAGTCTTGAAATGTTCGTGGAGGTTCAGGACAGGTTTAAAAGCTGAAAAAAATTATTCATTTCCGGGAATATACTAAAAACAGCCTTTTTTATTTCCCATACAAACGTTTTTTTTGACATTAGATTTGACAATTAACTAATATGTCAATCATTCTGTCGCACTTCAAAACACGGAGATTTATGGCTAAAAGGTAAACTCCAAAAATAAAAATAAAAAAAAACGTAACAGATATTTCTTGATTATAGAGCGATACGAAGTTCGCCGGGTCTTCTAGTTATTATATAATTAATTTGTAGTTACGTCTTTTCTCTGCGAATTATTCCTTCATAATATAAGCAGGATAGAATGATACAGGTAATATGAAATATGGAATCCGATTCTAAGTACAGAAAACTACGGACTTTTGTAAATGTCATGCGGTGGTCGGTAGTAGGAATGTATTGTAGCGGTTTAGAAGTGGACAATGTTAGTGGCCATGTATTATGAGTTATTCTCCCCTGGTATATACATATGTATGTTAATGTAAAGACACAATCGGTACTAATGACTTTTGTTCAAAATTATATACATATATACATATCATAGATGACCCAATTTTTACATTAAAAAGCGTAATTGGACGAAATAATGTACTATAGAATAAAAATATCGTAGTGTTTTGATATTTTTGGTTTTAAATATTTAATAAGATAAAGTTTCTTGTCTCAGTATTACTTAACAATCTTGTAACTTTTAAGATAACGTTATAATTTTGATTATTTAATGTATTTACATTACATAAACCTGGATTATGTCAAAATACTTTTTTATATTTATACAAGCTAACTGAAAGCAGTCTGACTTTAATGCCCCAGGTTTTTATAACATTTTTTTATCATGGCCGTTCGTTTAATCCAAAAAAATGTTTTCACTAAGTTATGCAAGTGATATCAGTCGGAGGTTTCAGGAAAACTACTTAATTGCGTAGATACGAGTATCTATTATATTAAAATTGCCTTTCCAAAACATGTAACCTATACTTAAGACGATTAGATTGACATTATTCTCTGCTTCTTACATAAAATACTTATATTCAGTACAGTGGCCTAGTCGAACGCTTCCTTCTAAATGTTCCTTATAAATGCCCAAGGAATTCTATTCCGAACACATTTCACATCCCGCGCGTTAAAACTAATCTTTGATCCCAGTCTCCCGTAGTGCAATT